CCAGTGTTTTTTTAGGTCATATCCAAAAAGTCTTTACCAAGACCATTGTCAAGTAGTAGTTTTGTAATTTCAGGTCTTATATTTAAATCTTTAATCCATTTTGAGTTAAGTTTTATATGGTGTGAGGTAAAGGTCCAGTTTTATTCTTCTCTATGTGGATAATCAGGATTTTTTAGCACAGTTTATTGAAGAGAGTGTTTTTCCCTTATTGTGTGATCTTCTTATCTTTGTTAAAGGTTGGTTGACTACGTATGTCTGGGTTTACTTCTGGGCTCTCTCTCCTGTTTCATTGGTCTATGTGTCTGTTTTTATGTCAGTAGCATAAAAACAGTTTTGATTACTGTAGTTTTATAATGTGTTTTAGAATCAGGGAGTGTGATATGTTTAGCTTTGTGCTCAAGTTTGCTTTGGTTATCCAAGGTCTTTTGTGGTTCCATGTGAATTTTAGGATTGTTTTTTCTGTTTTTCTTTGTCTGTTTTATGTTGCCATAACAGAATACTTGAGACTGGGTAATTTATAAAGAAATGGAGTTATGGCCAGATGCAGTGACTCCTGCCTACAATCTCAGTGACTTGGGAGGCCAAAGTGGGAGTATCACTTGAGGCTATGAGTTCAAGACCAGCCTGGGCAACATAGTGAAACTGTGTCTCTACCAAAAAAAAAAAAATTAAAAATTAGCCAGACATGGTGGTGCACACTTGTAGTCCCGGTGGTGCACACTTGTAGTCCCAGCTACTTGAGAGACTAAGGAGGGAGGATCACTTGAGCCCAGCAATTAAGGGTTGCTGTGAGCTGTGATTACACTACTGCATTCCAAGCAGGGCAACAGCAGAGCCTATCTCAAAAAGAGAAAGAAAAGAGGATTACATAACTCCTTGTTCTGTAGGCAGGGAAGTTCAAGAGGATGGCCCTTTAGGTGACGACTTCCTTGCTGCATAATAATGTAGCAGAGGTCATAGGGGTAGCAGACAGATACAAAAAGAGTGGAACAAACAGGAGGAGGAAATTTACATTATAACAACCTGCCCTCACAGGAGCTCATCCATTCTTGGACGAGAGAATTTACTCACTACCAAGAGAGTAGCACCATTCATGAAGGATCCACCTCCATGACTCAAAACACCTGCCACTAGGCCCTACCGCCCAACACCACCATACTGAGTATCAAATTTCAGCATGAATATCACTGAGGACAAACTCAAATCATAGTACTATTTATATAAAAAATGTCATTGGAATTTCAATAGGGATTGCATTGAACCTGTAGATCATGTTGGTTAATAGTTAACAATATTAATTTTTTCAGTCCATGAATATGTGATGTCTTTCCATTTATTTGTGTTCTAATTTTTTTATTAATGTTTCATAATTTTTAGTGTACAGATCTCTTGCCTTGATTAAATTTCTTCATAAGCATTTTTTTAATGGTATTATAAATGGGAATTTTTTTCTTGATGTCCTTTTTGGATGATTCATTGTTAGTATAGAAATGCTACTGGTTTTTGTGTTTCTTTTGTATCCTGAAACTGCTAAATTTGTTTATATTAACAGGTTTTTAGTGGAATCTTTAGAATTTTCTCTATATAAGATCATGTCATCTGCAAACATTTTAACTTCCTCCTTTACAATTTGAATGCCTTTTATTTCTTTTTCTTTCCTAATTGCTCTAGCTAAGACTTCCAATACTATGTTTAATAGCAGTGGCAAGAGTAGGCATTCGTGTTTTGCTGATCTTAGAGGAAAAGCTTTCAACTTTTCACCATTGAGTATGATGCTAGCTGGTAGGCTTGTAATTTAATGGCTTTATTGTGTTGAGGTACATTCCTTCTATGCCTAAGTTGTTGAGAATTTTTAATATTGAAGTATGAATTTTATCAGATATTTTTCTGTGTATACTGAAAAGATCATTTTTTTCCTTCATTCTGTTAATGTGCTGTATCACATTTATTGGTTTGCATATGTTAGACCATCCTTGTGTGCCAGAGATAAACCCCTGTTGATCATGGTGAGTGGTCCCTTTTAATGTGTTGTGGAATTTAGCTTTCTAATATTTTGTTGAGGATTTCTCCATGTTTTCATCTGAGATACTGGCCTGTAATTTTCTGTTTTTATAGTGTTCTTGTCTGACTTTGATATCAGAGTAATCCTGGTCTTGTAAAGGGAATTAAGAATATTCTCTCTCCAGTTTATGTTTGAGAAGGATTGGTATTAGTTCTTCTTTAAATAATTGTTAGACTTTACCAGTGAACCCACCAGGACCTATGCTTTTCTTTGATGGGAGACTTTATTACTGACTCAGTCTCCTTAATACATACTGGTCTGTTCAGATTTTCTATTTCTTTGTGATTCAGTCTTGGTAGATTGTCTGTTTCTGGGAATTAGCCATTTCTTTTAGATTGTGTGATTTGTTGACATATAGCTGTTCACAAGTTTCTTATGATTCTCTGTATTTCTGTGGTATCAGTTGTAATGTGTCCTCTTTCATTTATAATTTTTAAAATTTCACTCTTATTTTTGCTTAGTCTACTTAAAGGACTGTCCATTGCGTTTATGTTTTCAGATAACCAACTAAGAATTTCATTGCTCTTTTCTGTATTTTTTATTTCTGATCTCTATTTCATTTATTTCTGCTCTGATTTTTTATTCTAGCCATTCTTCTGCTGACTTTCAGCATACTTTGCTCTTCTTTTTCTAGTTCCTTGTGGTGCAATATTAGGTTATTTGGAACATTTCTTCTTCTTTTATATAGGTGTTTATTTCTATAAGCTTTATTATTAGAAGTGCTTTTGCTGAATTTCCATAAGTTTTGTTATGTTGTATTATTATTTTCATTTGTCTCAAGATATTTTTAATTTTTCCTTTTAATTTCTTTATTGACCCTTAGAATGTTCAAGAGTATATTATTTAATTTGTACATTTTTGTTATTTTTCCAAAATTCGTCCTATTATGGATTTCTAGTTTCATTCCATTGTCAGAAAAGATACTTGATGTAATTTCAGTCTTGACTTTGTTTTTAAGACTTGTTTTGTAGCCTAACTTGTTCTGCTAGGAAGTAGGAAGTGACTAGACTGAAACGAAGTGGTTCAGAACTGTAGCATTTGGAAGGCATCATTGAGCACTACCACTGAACTGGCCAGTCTTTGATAAAAATGAATGCTCTGCTCTTTTCCTACATAGAGTTACCACTACATTGCTAGGAATGTTGATTACAAAAGATTTATTCTATTTTCTTTTGAACTTTTAGTAAGAAGCAGATTAATCGTTGGAAGGATTCATAGTTATCCTGGTATTTCACTTGAAATGTTTTTAAAAGAAAGACTTTGCAAGGAACATGGATGTTTTTGTCTAAATTCTGAAATGATCACCTGTACACTAATTTTCTATTTTCTCTTGGCTCCTGAGATAATTGTTAGACTGATATAGGTCCTTTGTAGTACATTTTTAACTTTGTAATACATTTTTAACCTTGTGAGTATAATTGAAAGTCGGCCGGGCACGGTGGCTCACGCCTGTAATCCCAGCATTTTGGGAGGCCGAGGCGGGTGGATCGCGAGGTCAAGTGATCGAGACCATCCTGGTCAACATGGTGAAACCCCGTCTCTACTAAAAAATACAAAAATTAGCTGGGCATGGTGGCGCGTGCCTGTAATCCCAGCTACTCAGGAGGCTGAGGCAGGAGAATTGCCTGAACCCAGGAGGCGGAGGTTGTGGTGAGCCGAGATGGCGCCATTGCACTCCAGCCTGGGTAACAAGAGCAAAACTCCGTCTGAAAAAAAAAAATAAATAAAGTCTACATATCCAGAGAAAATAACTGTAGAATCAGGATTTTAACATGAGGATTTTAAAACTTTTTCTATTCCATTCTGCTGACTTAAAATTAGTATAGCTTTCTTGTTTTGTTTCTATTTTTACCTTTGAATGTTTCTTCATGTAAAAGTGTGTGTTGAGAGGATTGAGGGACAGGGTTTATCCTGCTGTAGAAATATTTTTCCTTCTTTTTGGTTAAATCTGCCTTCCCTTGTGGTATAATCTAGGTCATTTTAATGCTCATATTTAATATCTCAGAAAGATAATAAGTTATTGAGTGTTTACTCCTTGCCAGATGTTGGGCTAAATACTCGTATACATTTTCTCGTTTAATCATCATAGCCACCTTGGGAAAAAGATATAATTATCATTCAGCCCTGTTTGACAGATTAGGAGACAAAGGGTTAGAAACTATAACTAGTGAGTTGCAGAAATATGAGTTGAACTTAGATTTGTCTTATTCAAAATCCCACAACCTTAATCTGTCTGTCATACCATCTCTGAGAGCACTCCAGGAGGAAATCTTTCTCATTGAGGGCTACAAAAATACTTGCTCTGTTTTCCTCATTTTCTTATTTCTCCATTTTAAAAATCATTTTCTCACTTTTATTCTCATCTGATAGAAAAGGTTATGGAAGATACAAAAAACATAGTTTTAAGTGTTTAGCCTTGTATGAATCTGCCTCATTCTAACTGGGCATCATTTGTACCTCTGTCATTGTTTTTGATTAATACGCTTTCAAGAAAGTGTTCCCCATTGGTTGGATCCTTCACTGTTTTCTTCCATTGGGAGTTTTGATTCATTGTATTTCTAATATTTCTAATGACATAATATCTGAAGAAAGAATAAAATGAAGAATGTTTTAAAATATCATGTCTGCTAATGTAACGAAATTTTGTAACTATAAAACCTGACTATTTAGCTAAAAATATCTTCAGGGTCATAGCACTTTATGACTTTCTGGCATGCTTTTACATTCAAATGTCTGTGTGTAAATTTCATGACTTCTACATTTCTAGGCTAAAGACAATTTCCAGCAAACACAAAATGAAAAAGAGACATATATACCTGATAATTTGTTCTGATGCATTTTTAGCTTTGATAATAAAATACTTTATATTGCTTTTCCTTTCCATCCTTAACTAGATTCTATTTAGTAGTAATGTGTTTTTTTGTGTGTGTATTCAAAGGGCAGCCATTCTACAAAAGTGGAAGCTGTGGTCAGAACTCTGATGAAAATACAGCTTAGAGATCCAGGGGCTAAAGCACTCGTTTTCTCAACGGTATAGTCAACATTTTCATCCTCAATATTAACTTGAACTGATTTTCCTTCTCTAATCAGTTAACAGCTGAGAACTAATTTGTAATGTTGACCCTTAGATTTTTTTTCCAAATCTGTAAGATAGAATTATTTTTAGAGAAATTTGATAATGCTTCACAAGGCAATTTGTGTAGCTATGTTTCATGATTTTATATTACTGTCACTTAAAGATTTTCATAGTTTAATATTTTTTTAATTGGAATTTCTGACCTTGAAAGTCTCATTTCACAAGAGTTTGGATTAAAAAAAAGAAAATCTGCTGAATATTAAGTGTTGAATAAAACCTCGAGTTTTCACTTTGGAAAACTAAGTAATTATATTCCAGTATGTACTTCATTATTTATTTTCTACTGTTTGTTTATCTTATTTCCATTTCTAAAACCAGCATTTGATGTAAAAAATGAAAACAAAACTACTGTTTCAGATAGAGCTAAATAATATTGATGGTACTACATTTGAGGGTTTTGTATAAAAATCATTTTATTTCCTTTTCAGATACCCTTAGATAAAAGCTACATTTAAATATTGGTTTTCTCATTGTTTTATGTGTTCTAGTGGCAAGATGTATTAGACATTATTTCAAAAGCTCTCACTGACAACAACATGGAATTTGCACAGATCAGTCGTGTTAAGACATTTCAGGTAGGTTAAGATTTTACTCCTGATTTTTGTAGTAGACACAGTTGCAGATTGAAACTGCTATTAACTAGCTTACTTACATTTATTGTCTTGTGTCATGTAAGCCACAAAACAGGGTCTGAGTTCTTGATTAATTATAAAGTGAATATTAAAAGCAAAGTAGAGAAACTTTAGGTGTTTTCAGAGTATTTAATTATAACTATAACAAGACCATTGGTGTTTTTAAAGATCTCCTAACTTGAGGTCCTTTTTTTTTGGTCACTACAGGAAGATTGCCTATGATATACCTTTTGAATACAGATGGGCCTCACACCCCAGGGATTAGCTTCTAAAGTCACTGTCAGGCAAAACTGCATGTGGTCACAATTATCTTTACATCATGCTTAGCACAGTGACAAGTGTATGACCTCAGGCACACAAAGAGACCAAATGAAAATTTAGCAGATTCGTGTGTCTTATCTCACATTCACTCTAGCACATTATTTCTCTTTCTCTTTCCTCTAACCTCATATAGTTTAATTTGCATGTATCACATGCATCTGTCTTGTGATTCCTCTAGATATTACAAAGAACAAGAGAGCTTATATGGTACTTTTCTTCATAATTAAAATCAAGCAACAAATTTGCATTTTCTAAAGTTGATAATTTTACACTTAATTTTCTTAGCTATTACCTTTCACAATAGTAATAGATAGCATTAGACATCTTTAAAGTGAGCTATAACGTACTGCTCTTATTTTAACTGATCCAGCTAAAATTAAAATGTACCTTTCTTTTTTAGGAGAACCTTTCAGCATTTAAACGTGATCCCCAAATCAATATTTTGCTGCTGCCCCTGCACACAGGTTCTAATGGATTAACTATCATTGAAGCAACTCATGTTCTCTTGGTGGAGCCCATATTGAACCCTGCCCATGAGCTTCAGGCCATAGGGAGGGTGCACCGAATTGGACAGACAAAGTAAGGACTAAAATTAGAATCAGTCACATTCGCTTCAGTTTTCTGAGAAACCAAGTCAGTATTTAAACTCTTCATTATGTTCATCATAGCCTACTTGTTTTTAATTATTTCCTTAGAGATTATATTTTTTAATTATTTATTTTATAACTTATAACTTTTTAATTATTTAATTAAAAAGCATGAGATTTCTAATCCTCCCTTCTCCAAGAAGCAAACCCCCAAATGTTCCCAAATTTTTGTCTTCCCACAAAAACCTTATTACTTAATCCAAAAAAAAAAAACCTTGTCAGAAATACTTAAGACAGCTGCAAAGTTGAAGGCATCCATCATGCCTTTGAGGAGAATGGAGTTTTGATTGTTTAAAGTAGCCCTGTGTTTAAAAGATGACATACCTCGTACATGACCGAAAATAAATGGCTCCTCTTTAAATTCTTAACCTTAGGAAAGGACATCCCCTAAGTCAGCTCCAGGAGATCATTAGATTCAGTTTAGGACCCAAAGCAAACCAAAGTGAATATTATTATATGATACGTATTACCTTTATTCATATATCAGAATAGATAGTTATCTTTGATAAGGCCTCCTAAATGTGTTACCTCCTGGATGTTACAAGTCTTCAATGTTTAAAAAAGAAAACACACACACACACACACACACATTATAAGCACTTGTTAAATCAATATTTATTCAGCATCTACTGTATGTCAGGCATTATTCTAAATACTGAAGATTCATATTGAATGATACATAATTTACTTCCCTAAGGAGGTCACTCTGTAGTACAAGAAATATGATTTAAAGTGTTGTGGCAGACTGTGCAAAAGTATAATAAAAGTACTGTGTTAACAAAAGAAGATAATGATCAGTCGGGCCCTACAGAGTCAGGAAAGACTTTATGATATTGAGTCTTGAAGGAGCAGTTACTTCAAAGTAGGATGGAAAGGAGTATTCACACAGCCAAAGAGAGTTATATATGCAAAAATACAATGGTGGGAAATGAAATGATATTTCTAGGGACTGTAAGGAGTTTGGGATTGTTGTAATATAAACTATGAGAAAGGGATGATTGGCGGGAGATGAGGTCTTCTCTGTCATACCCAGAAATATAGACTGCTCTGTAAGTAGTAGCTGGAAGAGAAAATAAAGGGTTTAATTATAAGCAGGGAAGAGACAGATTTATTAAGCCTCTTAACAAACAGGGCAAGGTAACATAACTGTAATAAATGCGGACTTGTTCTAACATACCACCACGTCTCATTTAAAATGCAGTCATGTCTTACTTGTTTTTTGTTGGTTTTCTTCTGTGTTTTTAAATATTGATTTTTTGTCCTGCCAATGCTCTTTTAAAGCATAGACTGGACTAGTCTCAGTTTTAAAACTACAAGTCTAAAAGACCATTCAGTATTACCCAACAATCTTATTATGCTTCCCAAGTAAATCAATTTTGCTACTTTCTAAGGAGTCTGTCTTAAGTTTGTCTTCTTCCTCCCTATGGCAGTCTTGCCTCATAGAGGGGAAAATACACAGTCAGATTAGAACTACCTCATCTTTCCATCATCAATTTCAACAGTCTGCCTGCATCAGTATTCACATACTTTTTGGTAGATTTTTATTGAGGATCTTCTGTGTGCCACGCACTGTTTTAGGAACATGAGATGCCCTCATGGAGCTTAATTCTAGCTGTAATGGAGTTGGTAGACAGAGGGTAAACAATAAACATAATAAGTACAATATAGACTATGTTAGGAGCCGGAAAAGTAGAGCAGGATGAGGAAGTAAGAGTGTCTGGGCAGGAAGGCATGCAAGGCCTTATTGAGAAGGTAATATTTGAGCAAGGACTTAAATGGGAAAATGGGAAAGTTATTCTTGCAGGTATCTTGGGAAAGAATGTTCAAGTAAACAGCGCATTTGGTGCAAAGGCTCTAAGTCGGGAGTATGGTGTGTTAGAAGAATAGCAAGGAGCCACAGTTGCTAAAGGAAAGAGAAGCAGGAGTTGAAGTCAGAGGGCTCAGTAGGGAGAGGGATTACATTGGGCCCAGGAAACCACTGTGAAGGTGGTGCTTTTACCCTGTGTGAAATAGGGAGCCATTGGAAGGCTTTGAGCAGAAGTGTGTCATATCTCACTTGTTTTAAAAGAATCATTCTGAGTGCTGTGATGGGGTGGGAGTGAAGGGGAGCAAGGGAGAGTAGAAGCAGGGAGAGTTTTGGAGGCTATTGCTGTCATCCTGGTGAGAGCTGAAGGTAACCTGACCATGGCGGTAGCAGTGCACATGGTGAGGAGTGGTCAGGTTCTGGATATATTTTGAAGACAGAACTGATAGTACTTTTGGACAGACTGGACATGGGGTGTGAGAGGGTCAACGATAATACCATAGATTTTGGCTTGGACAACTAAAAGGATGAAGTAAACTTCAGCTGAGCTGGAGAAGGAACATGTCCTACAGGGTAGAGCAGATTTGGTAAGAGAAGAACAGACATCCAAATGGAGATTTCTACTATGTAACTGAATGTACAAGTCCATTAAGTCACGAGACTGAATGAGATTACCCAGGGTGAGTTTAGATAGAGAAGACGACCATGGACTCAACTCCAGGGTACCAAAGTTAAGCTGTTCTAGGAGAATAGAGTAGGAGGAATCAGCAAAGGTAACAGATGAAGATCAAGAAATGAGTTAGGAAGAAAACCAGAAGACAGGGGTGTCCTAGAAGCCAAGTAAAGAATGTACCTCAAGGAAGAGGATATGGTCAGCTGTTTCAAGTGCTGTGAAAAATGTCAAGGAAGACAAGAATTGAGAATTGATCATAGATTTAGCAACATCGAGATACAAAACCAGGTTAAGTGATAGAGGCGACAGCCTGACTTGAGTTTTAGAGAGAATGGGATTTTGTGTATTTCTTATTTAACAAATACTTAAGTAACAAAGAGAGGGCAACTTGCCCATGGTCAGACAACTAGTAAAAGTGGTGGCAGATTTCAGACACAGCCATTCTACCTTCACAGTACAAGCTTTAACCACAGTGCACCGCTGCTTCTGTGTGGCTGGTAAGGCTAGTATTTTGAGGAGTTTTGCTGCAGTGAAAAGGAAGATAATGAAATCAAGAGAAGTTTTTTTATTTCCTTTCAAATGGGAGACTAAGAGAATGATTCATTAGAGACAAAACACTAGTGAAGGAATATAGCAGGGAGAATGTTTGACAGTGCCCTTGAGTGAACAAGAGGATATGGGATGGAACACTGAAGTGGTGGGAGGGTTGGTGTTAGGTAGGAACATGGATGTGTCATCCAGTGATAAGCAGGAAAGTACCTTCTATGCCTTCCCTTTTATTACAACAGAAGTGTCCCTTTTCTTTCAAAAGCCACCCATTTCATTGTTCCTGGATCCCATTCCTTCTCATATTTTCAAAGACGTGTATATTTCCCTTGTACAGGTTGAGTATCCATTAACTGAAATGCTTCAAGTGTTTTGCCTTTGGATTTTTTGAGATTCTAGAATATTTGCATATGCACAGTGAGGTATCTTAGGAATGAAACCCCAGTCTAAATATGAAATTTATTTATGTTTCATATGCAACTTCTACACATAGCCTGAAGGTGATTTTATATAATATTTTAAATAACTTTGTGCACAAAACCAAGTTTTTACTGTGTTTTGACTATGACTCATTACATGAAGTCAGATGTTGAATTCTCCACTTGTCACATTGACATTCAAAAAGTTTTGGATTTTGAAGCATTTTAGATTTGGGGATTTTGGGATTAGGGATACTCATCCTGTCATATTACCCTGTAAATATGTCTTAATATTATCCATTTTAAAAAAAAAAGGTAGGATCTCTTACATCCTACCTCCATCTCTACTTTTTCGTCCTCTATTCTCTCTCAATCTATCCGGTTGAATTTTCTCTATCACTGAAGCGAGGCTTATAATGTTTTTAGTTGACCTACTTCGTGGCAGTGGTCTGAGGGTTGTCTAAACCCCTTAGATGAATTTTTCCAGTCTTAGGGATTTAGGTAGCTTTTATATGTTGAGGACTCTAAGGTATATACCCCTAGTCCAGACATGCCCATATAGCTCGCATCCCAGGTGCATATATCCATTTCTATCTCTGCACACATATCTCTGGACTCAGTCAACTTGGATACATGTTTAATAGGTATCAGGTTTCACATGGACGAAACAAAATTGTGTTGCTTCTGCACTCTTACCCCCACCCTAAGTTTTTCCCATCTTATAATGTGGCACTGTCATCTGTTCCTGCCCAGATCAGAAATCTAGGACTCTTCTATATTTCTCTTTTCACATTTCACATCCCAATCATCTTTTAAGTTTTGTCAACTCTGCCTCCAAAAGATATTTCAAATCCACTTGACTACTATCTCCACTGATGCAACCATAGTACACTCACTCTTACTTACCCAGAGGACTACAGAACTTCTTAACTGGCTTCTCTGGCACTCTTGTTGCTGAACAAGAAGTGCATCCTCCACACAGTTGCCAAAGGCAAACAAACCCACCAAGGGCTTCCCATTATAACCCCGATAAAATTCAAATGCTTGGTCACATCCTGCAAGGCCCTATGTGACCTGGCCCCTGCACACCTCTCCACCTTTATTTTCACCTCTCTCTCTCTCGTTTACAGGATGCTTCTGCCATGCTAGCCTTCTTTTGGTCTCTTGAACATGTTAGGCTTGTTCCAGGCATGTTCCCTTCCCACAGATTGTGCATGTATGTGCTGCTCTTCCCTTTGGTTGTGCTTCTTACTCCTCCTTTGCCTACTGGCCTTGTTCCCATCACTGTTGTTTCAGTTCACATGTCAGTATCCTCTTGGCATTATATTTACCTGAAACTGCCTTACTCTTTTCTGTGTTTATTTTCTGTCCTCATTAGAATGTCAGCTCATGGAGAGTAAATAGTTCATTTTATTTGATGCTAACCCCTCCCAGCACCTGCCGCAAGTGGGCACCAACTGACTGATGAATGTAGCATATAAAATGTGAAGTTGGTTTGTACAAATTTGTTTACTGTGGTTTTAAGATTAAAATTCTTTGTGCCTTTTAGACCTACTATTGTACACAGATTCTTAATTAAAGCAACAATAGAAGAAAGAATGCAGGCAATGCTGAAAACTGCTGAGAGGAGGTAGGTAATAATTTACAACAAGCAGAAGGGGGAAGGTTTTCCTAGTAAAAGTTTGTGTGTACCTTTGGAACTTCTTCACGTAGATGATGACAAAAAATATAACACAAATACTTTTTAAAAGCAAGATCTGACGTTTTGTCTTCACAGTGTTTCCCAGTCGGTGTTCCAGACATTCTGTATTTGAATTAATTTGTTAATTGTAACATGTAAACATAAGCTATCCTACATTTCTTTGCCACATTGGATCACTTCTTAAGTGAAATATATCTTTATGCCTGACATAAGCCTTAGTCTGATATGCGTAAACCAAAATTGTGTTGCTACTTTCTACATCACACTTGTTAGTCATGTGTTGATAGAAATATCTGGACTTTAAAATTTGGTAGGCCACATGTAGTGGCTTATGCCTGTAACCCCAGCACTTCGGGCCTCCGAGGCAGGTGGATAACCTCAGGTTGGGAGTTTCAGACCAGCCTGGCCAACATGGCAAAACCCCGTCTCTACTAAAAACATGAAAATTAGCCAGTCATGGTGGCATGTGCTCATAGTCCCAGCTTCTCGGGAGGCAGAGGCAGGAGAATCACTTGAACCCAGGGGGAATAGGGCAGAGGTTGCAGTGAGCCAAGACATGCCACTGCACTCCAGCCTGGGCAACAGAGCAAGACTGTCTCAAAGAAAAAAAAAAAACTTGTTAATTGTGGTGTCAATCCAAAGACAGAACAAAAGCAGAGAGACCAAACCAGTCTTAATTTTTAAAGTTTGTCTTTAGAATCATAGAACTTTCTAATATTTATGCTATAATTTGTTAGTCTTTTTGAAAACATAAATCTTTCTACATCTTAGGAGGTAAGTAGGATTGGAATGTACCCAAGGAAGAGATTATTGCCTTAGAAGGGATTGTCACATAGCAAAGAAGCAATTTGACACCAGAAATTTTCTTCCAGTGATGGTTTATGGGAAGGAAAGAGGCTTTTTATTTAAAACGTGAAGGCTTTTTAAAGTTCTTATATCCTTGTGTATCAGACTTCAGTGATTTTTATTTAGGCTGTTTTAATAAAATAGCAGTTAGAAGAGTTGTTTGAAATTCCCTTGAAGCAAATTAACTTTAGGTGGTAAGAAGGTAGTTTGTAAGGTGAGAGCGTAGTAGCAGTTGTCAGGGGTTTTATTCTTTGTTGTATTAATTGAGCAGAGAAGAAACATTTTGACAAACCCTAAAAGTAATATATAGAAGTCTTTACTGGTTTTGAGAAGGTATAATACTGATTTTATCACTTGCTTTCCTCTGGGAGTTTCTTATAGCCCAATTACAAAAACTTAAGAAAAAATATGGGTCTAGTTGTTATTATTGCAAATATAATCACTGATTCCTTGGGGTTTCTTTCTAACTGCTCGTTTGGAAAACCTTGCAGTCACACAAATTCATCAGTGAAGCATTCAGAGGCCTCCGTCTTGACCGTGGCTGACCTGGCAGACCTATTTACCAAAGAAACTGAAGAGCTTGAATGAACTACACTTTATTCATTCCATCGACTGTAATGTATTAATAAACTTTCATAGCTGTAGCGCAAAGTTACGAGGTGAAAAAACCCAGTAGTTATCAGCTAACATTGTTCCTAGTTGAGTGCGTTCGTTTCTTGTTCTGGTTATACAGTGGCCTGGTACTTATTGAGCCCTTTTCAATATCTGTTTTCAAAAGCTCTATAAAGATTTTTAATTTTACACTCCTAATAAAACATTTATTTTTTGGTCCCAAATAATATCTGTATCTGATGATACAAGGGAATTAAGAGAGGTAATGTGTACTTTTCTTATGGTAAGATCAGTCATAAAAAGAGTTAGAATAAGAAAGTAAACTAGTCTAGTTTTATATGACCTGGTATTTCAGCCAACATAGATCTCAGTTTGGGAAGGGCCTTCGGTATCTTTAGCACATGATTCACAAGTATCTTATTAGTAATGTTTTAAGTAGATGGTGAATTAAATTAACTTGTCATTTTGAGTAGGTTTATACCATAACTTCATACTTAGTAATTCTGCAGTAATACAACTCCTTACAATAAGTTATGTTAGACAGTTATTTCTTTCCTCTGCATCTTGCTACTAAAAATTAAAACACTGAAAGTATTCATATTTCTATTATGTGTAAAGTGGTGTCAGTGTAAACAGTTAACTCCAAATAGATTTTTTAAATGTATTAATGGTTACCTTAAAATTATCTGCTTTCTCTACTCTTAATTTTTGTACTATTAAAAATTTTTTTATGTTGTAAGATTGATGTATCTGTATATATTGCAGTTTTTATGACTGTCTTATCATAACATGGAAATGTGACACACTTTTTTTTTAAATCATTATTATGCTGATGTCTTGAATTCTTTTCTTTCCCATGTTCTTCTGTAACTAGACTTTTTAGCCACTGATATCTGAATTCATGGTATAGTTGTCATTTTATTTCAGTTGTTCCTCCCTTAAGCATGAGTCTTTGACTTTTTGAACAACAGAATGCCATGTTCACATAGCGAATTGTTGCAGGTGATAATAACCAAGTGTTTCTTCTTCTGTGAAGAATTAATGGACTTTGAAATTGCTGAATAAGGAGTAGCTTGTTTAATCCTAGCCATTTGATGTAATATAAATGTTCTTGTTTGGCTTCCTTTTCTTTGAGCCTTCAGAGTTTTAAAGGGCCCTCTTTGACCCTCAGGACTTACTAAATCCTAGTTAGCTGCCTGGAGAACTCATAGAACCATCCCCTGTATCCCATGTGTCTGAGAGGCTTTGGTGCTCAGTTAAGGTGCATTTTCTTACTCTAGGTTTATAGAGTGACATAATTCAGCTGAAGAAAACACACACATGCTTTTGGTGCTTATTCTTCAGTTAAAGGGAGGTATGCATTGATTCTTTTATATGAAATTAAACTGTTATTTTTATAGCTCTTCACATATTAAAAAGAGCTTTCCTATACATTTACATGTTTAGTTTGCCCAACAATCGTGTGAAGTTGTTATAATGAATATCATTCCTGTCTTCAAGGTATAGAGAACTGAAGTTCAGAAACTTTCTTAGGACATGTAGCAAGTAAACAGTGGAGCCTAGGTCCCCTGACTCCATATCTTACATTCTTTTACTAATAACATGTCATGCTGAGATTCAGAAGGCCCATGCTTATAATTTCATAATGAGACTATTCCAGTATTTGTGTTTGTTTTCTAGTATTCCTTTCTGAGCTATGTTTTAGAGAAAACAATTTGATATGCTTCGATTTTGTAAAAAAAAAAAAAAAATTATATATATAAAATTATCTATTAGACAAAAACTGTTCTTATTTATTTCTGTAAGATATCAATTAAATAAATATTTTAGTGGAAAGTAAAATTGTGGAATTCTTTGATTTCTGAGCCATAGAACATACGGGGTTTTTTGGTGTTTTTCTTTCTACAAAAGATGTCGAAATGGCTGATACTATAGAATCTCTTAATGTATATATATTTGTTATGTCTTCAAAACAATTGTGACAGTTTCCAGTTGTCCAAAACAAATACAAATCTGATTTTCACATTTTCTTGCTGCAAACAAAGGATTTTTAAAGTTTTCTTCCTCTATTATTTTAAAGCCTCTGAAATATTACTATGCTTATAAGTAGTTGTTCTTAAATGGATGGTATGCTAATGAACCAGTGAGAAAAAATGAAATAGCCGCAACTGTTAGAATAGCCCCAATCACTAAACTTAAATGTGTTTGGACCTGGAGAATCATTTTCTGTTACATGATGAGTTTACTAGAACTAAAAGATACATACAAGGTAAAGTGCATATACTTCATAGTCTTTTGCTTCAAACCCAGATAGCTCAGTGTTTATTGCAGCTTCAGCTTTTCTCTTTGTATGTGACCTGAGCTGAATAAGCCATACATTCAGTTTTAGGAATTGGCATCTTTCCTAAGATGCCACATGAACAACAAACTAAAAATCTTAACATAATTCAGCATGTAACTACTAATACTTTACAAATAACGATCAAACCAACTACTTATCTAAATATTTAGGAACTGATTTTAACAACGCAAGATTCGTCACCAACTCAAGCTCTCCTTTCAGGTGGTCAAAGTAAGAATTCATGTCTTTTCAGTCTCTCATTTAGTAGCTCTTCCAGTGTGCTTAAGTTATTTATGTTCATTAAACAACAAGATAACCTTTCAGAAATGCAAAGATCACCTGTGCTGAATAACCTCAGGCTTGCGTAAGTCGAATAAAAGCTATCTTTCCATTTTTATAGAATTTAGCTAAACAAAATCCCGAAATTTGCCTTTTCATAATTTTTAACTGGCATACAAATACAAAAATGGAATGTAAAATGAATTAAACCAATTAAATGAAATCAAAACCAACGCAAAAACAACAACAAAAATTAATTACAGCAGTATAGTGGAAACAGCGCATTTTAAGCCTGTCTACTCTGATAAAGGAACTCAAGGCAGTAAGATTTCTTCATAGTGAGATCAGATAGCTGTTTTCTAAAATTTTCTGTTTACAAGAATCTCTGCGTACCTCTTCCATTGTGAAGCCCAAATGAATGCTCATCACATGTGAGAGTCGAATATGAACCCCTTGCAATCCTTCCCTTAGAAGAAGGCTATGTAAGTAATTGATAACCCCAAAGGGAATTCAAGCCTTATGCTAGGTATGCGGTGTTGCCTCTGAGTTATAAAACAGATAGTATCACACACAGAAAATAGCACGAGTGCTTGGCAGAGGCCAAAGTTACCATCTCCAGCCTTCCCCTGCCTTCAGACAGCCTTTCAAAGGCATGTACAACTCATCTATGAAGAGTAAAGATCCCACACCATCCTTGGATCTTCATCATTTAATGTTAGTGACTCTCAATACCGATTTTTGGGAAACTGACTTTGTTATGTTGAAACCAAATTTTTATTGCAGCTTATGGTTCTTTTCCTGCAAAACAGAAATAAAAAACAGCCTCCATTATCTGTATAATGATCTTTGTATAGGTGACTACTGTTATTCGAACCAGTAACTTTTCTCTGCCTATCAAAAAAACAGCCTTTGTAAAAAATGGTCTGCCCTTCCCAACCCTATTGTTATCTTTGTCTCTTCAGTAAACTTGCTCTTAATGCTCCACACTGCCCTAGTGAGCCTATTAGAGGAGCGATGTGTCCTCGACCTATGGGATCTTTCCAGACCTGTGATTTGTATGTGAGCACAGTTCTGATCACGGACCCTTCCAGTGTTCTAAGGAGTAAACATTTGTGCTCAAATTTCCTTAGAGATGGCTTCTGCACATTTTGCTATTTATTTAGGATATACTTACTGAAATTACCTGTGGTTATTTTCTGCCAAGGCTATTTAATGAACATTTATCACATCATGTCTCCAGTTCTCTACCCAGAACAGTAAGGCCCCCTCATGCCTCTTTTGTTCTCCCGGCTTCCCATAATCAAACAACTGCTATCCCCAGTTATTTTTCTAGAGTCTTTGTAAAAATGTCCATTGACTGAGAGCGTCATTGCCTGTTGATAATATTGAGTGTATTTTTCCTTTGTCACAGATCCATGTCTTCTTTGGTAAATGCAAATCTGTGTTCTAAACAGGAATGCATTTTGGTTTCTGATCTTTATCAGGATGTTTATAAGTGATTATACTATTAAACTGTGAAAGCATTAGTGTGGAATGTTATATTTACCTAAAACTTCCCCAGTGCTGTTCACTTCTCAAGCCGTAATTATAATCATGTAAATGTTTATATTCTGCAACTGACCATTTTCTACCGTGCACTCAGATTTGCCTTCCCAGTTTTCTACCAGCATGGTAGGGTGCAATAAATACACTTCTCTAAGAGGCACTTCTGTCTTTTTAATAAGTTGTGAATGATGACTCAAGCAGTCACCTAGTTTATGCAGTGATATTTATTTAGATGAAGTCTTGCTCTGTCACCAGGCTGGAGTGCAGTGGCCTGATCTCTGCTCACTGCAACCTCGGCCTCCCAAGTTCAAACGATTCCCCTGTCTTAGCCTCCCTAGTAGTTGGGATTACAGGCTCGTGCCACCATGCCCAGCTAACTTTTTGTATTTTAGTAGAGATGGGGTTTCACCATGTTGGCCAGGATGGTCTCAATCTCCTTTTTAAGAAAAGGAAAGGATTTTTTTTTAATGCAGATAAACTTCAAGAGTTTCATTTAAGTCCTACATTTAAATAACTATGGCATTTTCCATTTTAGGTATGTTTTTCTTTCTCCCAAAATAGATGGTGTTCAGTTCCAGAATATCTTCACCCAACTAAGAAATACAAGGAGAGGTGGGGGGGAGGGGTACTTTTTTTAAATTACTAAACAGAAAAAGCAACTATTTCTTTCTTAAAATGTATCAAAGAATTTAATGACTTCGGTAGAAGAAGCAGTGCCTTCCATTTACTGGGTGTTCTGTAAATAGTTGAATTTAGCTGGTTAGAATAAATTAAAATGTGACAAATATGATAAATATGGCTCACAATGGAGCAGAGTCATGTAGTTACTAAGACATTTGCACAAATCCTGACCACTGAAGGGACCCAGCTCATAAGCACTGAGAAGTGACTCAGTATTTCCATGTGTTTCATACTTAACTTTCAAGGAAGTTTTAATAGTACCAAATTGATATAAGTCTTTTGAAGCCCATGAACAATAACAAGTGCTATTTGATTCTAATTCCTTGATTTTTATATCAGTAAGTCATTGTTGTTCAAACTGATTAGCTTTTATCTAAATTTTATTTAATATTGCCTAATGCTGGTTGTTTCTTTTGGAGTCATATAAATCTGGCTGCCAAGAAAAATGATGGCTCTGCTCTGAAACCACAAAGTGGCTTTATTAACATTTAGTGAATCCTAAGTAGAAAGGAACAGTGAATTTGCTGAGGAAGCCGTTCTCCACAATAATAAAGTATTCGTGTTTTTCTCATAGTAGACAAAAGTCATCGGTTTTCCTCTTTGATAGGGAGCAAATTCAACCTTAAAAAGCAGTAATATCCAACAACAGAAAACCCAATTTTAGGAGAAATACCTAATGTAGATGATGGCAGATGGATGCAGAAAACTACCATGACATGTTTATACCTATGTCACAATCCTGCACAAGCTGCACATGTACCCCAGAACTTAAAGTATAATTTTTTTTTAAATGGGCAAAGAATTTGAATAGACATTTCTCCAAGGAAGATAATATGTAAGTGACCAATAAGCACATGAAAAGATGATCAACAGCTGCTGGGAAAGTAGATATCAAAACTGAAATATGAAGGTTTGGAGAGGAGGAAGGAATGAATAAACAAAATGGGATTTTTAGGAGAGTGAGCCTTCTGTATGCTACTACAGGGGTGGACGTATGTCATTACACATTTGCCAAAACCCATAGAATGCACAACACCAAAAATGAACCCTAATATAAACTATGGACTTTGGATAATGATATGTCATCGTTTGAAACAAATGTACGACTGTGGTGTGGGATATTGATGGTAGAGGAGATTGTGCATGGGGTTGTGAGGAGTATATGGGAACTATATATACTTTCTGCTCAATTTTGCTGTGAACCTAAAACTGCTCTAGAAAATAAAGTCTATTAAGAAACAATGAGCCATCACTTTACACCATATGACTTATGGATGAAAAGAGTCAAACTCTGTAAAATATTTAAAGAGACTTATTCTAAGCCAAATATGAGTGACCATGGTCTGTGACACAGCCCTCGGGAGTTCCTGAGAACATGTGCCCAAGATGGTAGGGGTACAGCTTGGTTTTACATATTTTAGAGAACCATGAGACATCAATCAAATACATTTAAGAAATACATTGGTTTGGTTCAGAAAGATGGGACAACTCCCCTCCAGGCTATAGGTCAATTTAAACATTTTCTGGTTGACAATTAGTTGAGTTTGTCTAAAGACTTGGGATCAATAGGAAGGAATTTCAGGTTAAAGATAAAGGATTGTGGAGAACTAGTTCTATTTTAAGAGAAATCATTCAGATAGCAGACTTTAAAGAAAGGGCAGGTTGTAAAATGTTTCTTATCAGACTTAAACGGCCTGGCTCTTAGTTGATTATCCACTGGATCTGCAAAGAAAGGGAAACAAAAGGGGAAAGGGATTCTCTATAGAATGTAGATTCCCACTGCCCCACAAGAGACTTTGCAGAGCAATTTCAAGGCATGGCAAGAAAATATATTTTGGGGTTAAATATTTTTTCCTTGTCTCATAATGTTATGCCAGGGTAAGATTGCAAAGCAAGTCACAATATATAGGGTCAAATAAAACCCATCTGATAAGAATCCATGGTTTGTAGGACACAACTCCCCAGACTCCTTAGGTAGGAATTGGAGCAA